TATTTCAAAGATGTGTGAACAAATCTTTCTAAGTAACCCAATCTAATAGGATCTTCCTTCCTTCCTTCCTTCCTTCCTTCCTTCCTTCCTTCCTTCCTTCCTTCCTTCCTTCTTTTTTCTGTTTTTCATTTTTCCTTCCTTCCTTCCTTCCTTTCTCTTTCCTTCCTTCCTTCCTCTTTCTTTCTTTCCTTCTTCCTTCCTTCCTTCCTTCCTTCTTTTTTCTCTTTTTCATTTTTCCTTTCTTTCTTTCCTTCCTTCCTTTCTTTCCTTCCTTCCTTCCTTCCTTCCTTCTTTCCTTCCTCTTTCTTTCTTTCTTTCTTTCTTTCTTTCTTTCTTTCTTTCTTTCTTTCTTTCTTTCTTTCTTTCTTTCTTTCTTTCTTTCTTTCCTTCCTTCCTTCCTTCCTTCCTTCACTCACTCACTCACTCACTCACTCACTCACTCACTCACTCAAGGCAGGGAATATATCTAATACTCCTTCCTCCTCTCTTTTCCTCCTAATAGCAACCCTGTGAGGTAGGTTGGGCTGAAACTGAGTGATTGGTTCAAGGTTGTCCAGCTGGTTTTCATGCCTAAGTTGAGACAAGAACCCACCATTTCCTGGTAATTGGCGCAGTCATCCAGCCAGTTTCATGACTAAGGCAGGAGTAGAACTAGAACTCACAATCTCCTGGATTCTAGGCCAGTGCTTTCAACACAAGAAACAAACTGACAGCAGAAAATGACCTGCTGGTCCATTGAGTGTGCCCTTTGAGGTTTTATTATTATTATTATTATTATTGTTGTTGTTGTTAATGTTTGTCAGATGATGATGGACATGTGTTTATCCCAAGCATGTTTAAACTCAGTTTGCTAATGACTGAGCCGCTACCTCCGCTGGAAGTTGGTTTCCAGCTCCCACTAATCTTTCTATGAAGTAATACTTTCTAATGTGACTTTTAAACTTCTCTCCTGTCAGTTTGCAGTTATGCCACCACGTTCTTGATTTTTGGGTAATGTTGAAAATACCACATTCCAGAATCTTACTCACACCCTTTTTATATTTTAACAGTTTCAGTCAGGTCCTCCCTTTCCCTCTTGTGCTCCAGGCTGTTCCTCCAATTTCGGCTGGTACGTTTTGTCCCTTAGACCTTGTACCATTTTTTGTTGCCTGTCTCTGGACTTGCTCAATATTGTTTTTTTTAAGTGAGGTTTCCAGGACGGGAGACAGTATTTATTCCAAATGGGGTCTGACTAAAGCTCAGCAGTGAGAAACTGGCACAGCAGCGCCTGCATTTTCTGCGTCGCATGAGAAAAGCACATCTTCCTTCCCCTGTCCTGACCACTTTCTACAGAGGGATGATGGAGAGCATCCTGTCATACAACATCACAGTCTGGTTTGGAAGCATCCCTGCTTCGGACAGGAAGGCGGTGCAGAGAGTGGTGAGGACAGCAGAAAAGATCATTGGCAGTTCCCTCCCTCCCATCCAGGACATGGCACATAAGCGTTGCTTGAGGAGGGTCCATAAGATTGTCTGGGACACTACACACCCTCTTCACGACCTGTTTTCCTTGTTCCCTTCTAGGAGGAGGGGGCTCCGTGGTATCCGTAGCAGAACATCCAGATTCAGCCAGAGTTTCATTCCATACAGCATTAACCTTGTGAACTCTCAAGCCTCCTCCTCCCGTTATATATTCAAGATGGACAGCGTTTAATATTTATTTGCTATGTATATGTCGGGGTGTGGGTCTATACATATGTTGTATATAGTATGTTTTTGGTGTGTGTCATGTATGTGTTTCACTTTGAGAGCGGGCAACTAAATTTCATTTTTGATGTGTGCCGTTGTGCCCACAGTAAAAAAAATGTCAATAAAGGTTATCTTACCTTATCTTATAGCAGGATTAGGACCTCCTTTTTCCTGCTGGCGATCAACCTATAATTACAAATAGGAACTCGTTTGATTTTTATAGTGGGAAGATTCTGTATTGTTTTCATGATATGTATAAAAGACACATCCAAACACCTTGCAGTCCATTAAGTGGCTAAACTGCTTTTACCATTAGGAAATTTTCTGGCTTCCTTGTCATTTAAACCAAGCGACCCACTACCGGGCCATGGCCTATTTCCAATTGGGCCACATGAGTGGCCGGCCGGTGCGTGCGTATGCGCACGTGCACAGCCCCAGTCGCGGGTGCTTGGGGCTTCCATCTCACAGGCGCTTGGGGCTTCACACTCGTGCGAGCGTCACAGACACTCCATCCTCTCTTTCTCTCCCCTCCCCCCCATTCCGGGCTTCCAACCCGGAAAGGTTGCGGAACTCTGATTTAAACCGTTGTTTTTGACCCGTGTTGTGCGATAATTCTCATAACTGCATTTGCCTTTCAGATCTTCCAACTCTATTATTATTATTATTATTATTATTATTATTATTATTATTATTATTATTATTATTATTATTATTATTATTATTATTCTCTAAAGATACTTGAGGTCTCCTGCCAATTCTGCTAGGTTTTTCTTTCCAGGCTCCTTTGTTATTTTGGTTGCTTCTTTCTAACGCATGTGAGTGTCCTTTGATTTATTTATTTGTGAGATGTTTATCCCGCCTTTATTACTATTATTATTATTATTATTATTATTATTATTATTATTATTATTATTATTATTATTATTATTATTATTTAACAATTATTGTAAGAAAGATCACAAAATGGGCCAAAATTCACTTACTGACTGTCTCACTTAGCAAAAAAAATGTTGGGCTCAGAGTCGGACTACCTGTAGAGTAAAATTAATTTAAAGTCCTGACACTTCCCTCCCTCATATAATTTGGCTTCTTCATTTTTTGAACCTTGGCAAATGATTAAAGCTGTCATTTATTATCTTATTTTGTTTCCCTCCTTGCTTCTCTCACAGCTACTTATCTGTTGGAATTTGCAGATTCTGTTGTTCTTCTGCCCAACAGATAGATAAGCAGTCCCAGAATGGCAAGGTTTTGCTTTTAAATATACTAAAGATTTTTTTTTCACTCTATTTCATCATTCTGAGAATACAAAAGAGTGGCAGAAGTATCCGAGGTCAGTAAATTTGGAAAGAATTCAGTGTTGACTTTACTTAAAATAAATGTTATTGTTGAATAAGCCAGAATGGCTGGGCTTACAGTCCCAGTAAGCCAAACAGATCGCCTTTTTTTTTGTGCTGTGAGTATGACGAATGAATTTGTTTTACAACATTCTCCAATAAAACTAATGGTGAATAACTAGCAATAGCACCTTAGATCAGGGGTAGGCAACCTTGTCTCTTTGATGACTCCTGGACTTCAACTCCCAGAATTCCTGAGCCAGCATGGCTCAGCTTGGAAACCTCTCCCTTTCCCCTCAGCGTGGCTGGCTCAGGAATTCTGGGAGTTGAAGTCCACGAGTCATAAAAGAGCCAAGGTTGCCTACCCCTGATTTAGAGTGCTTTGCAGCGCTCTAAGTGGTTTACAAAGTCAGCCTATTGCCCCCCCAACAATCTGGGTCCTCATTTTACCGACCTCGGAAGGATGGAAGGCTGAATCTACCTTGAGCCGGTCAGGATCGAACTCCTGGCAGGGAGCAGAGTCAGCCTGCAATGCTGCATTCTAACCACTGCGCCACTATGACTCAAATATGCCGTTTGCAATGACTAAATCTTATGCTTATCAGTAAAACGATAAAAACAATTAAATTTAACACTGTATTTTTAATAGGTAGGACGAACCTGCCTACATGTGTATAATTCCTGAAACCACTCATATTTTTTGCTCCATTTTTATTTTGGGTCAAAAGTTTTTTTTTTTATAACAGCAACTACAATATAGAGCTCAACCTTTTATAATAATGATGATGATGATGATGATGATGATGATGATGATGATGATGATGGAAGGGACCTTGGAGGTCAACCCCCTGCTCAGGCAGGAAACCCTATACCATTTCAGACAAATGGCTGTCCAGTCTCTTCTTAAAAACTTCCAGTTTTGGAGCATTCACCGCTTCTGAAGGCAGGTTGTTCCACTGGTTAATTGTTCTGTCAGGAAGTTTCTCCTTAGTTCTAGGTTGCTTCTCTCCTTGATTGGTTTCCATCCGTTGCTTCTTGTCCTGCCTTCAGGCGCTTTGGAGAAGAGCTTGACTCCCTCTTCTTTGTGGCAGCCCCTGAGATATTGGAAGACGGCTATCATGTCCCCCCTCGTCCTTCTCTTCATTAAACTAGACATACCCAATTCCAGCAACCAGCTTCCAGTCCCCTAATCATCCTTGTTGCTCTTCTCTGCACTCTTTCTAGAGTCTCAACATCTTTTTTACATCGTGGGGACCAAAACTGGATGCAGGATTCCAAGTGTGGCCTTACCAAGGCATTGTAAAGTGGTATTAACACTTCACGTGATCTTGATTCTATCCCTCTGTACATGCAGCCTAGTCTGTTAAGAACCATGTTGGGTATTTCTTCAGCAGCGATTATGATTTTTGTGATGATCGATGTGATGTTTACAGAACGAGTATACTAATCGGGCGTAGAAATATTGGAGGTACTAAAATAAAAGTTATCCAGTTAAGGTGGACCTCGGTCTTAACAATACTTTTTTTTTTTGGTCGGAGGTACTAAAATGCTTCCGCAGCGAAAGGATTTGCTGAGGATATCACCGTTGTCCAGTTGGGGGCTCCGTGAAGTTTCCCACTGAAGTGGTACCCATTAATCTTCTCACGGTCGCCTGCTTTCAATCTGCTGGGTTGGCAGGAGCTGGAGTATGGGACAGGAGTTTACACACACACACACACACACACATACACACACACACACACACACCGTGGCAGCAACAGGTCTCAAATGCCTGCCAGTTGGCAGCCCAGCGTTCTAATCTCCCGAGCCACCACACCCCCCAACAGTACTCAAAATGTCCTAGCCTTTATTGATCAGAGATTAATGGTCGATTTTAATGTTTGTTCTTCCCTTCCTTCTTCTTCCCTTTCTGTCTCTTTTTTGCAGCATAAGTTCCAAACCACCGTCAGCAATATGGGGTCAGAAAACCCAAGCCCGCAAAATCCCAGCTGTAAAATTATGACGTTCCATCCGACGCTAGAAGAATTCCAGGATTTTGGAAAGTACATCGCTTACATCGAATCCCAAGGTGCCCACCGGGCAGGGCTTGCTAAGGTGAGTGTGCTGTGGGTTCCACTTAGTGATTTAGGAAGTTAACCTTAGCTAAATGGTATAGGGTTTCCTGCCTGAGCAGGGGGTTGGACTAGATGACCTCCAAGGTCCCTTCCAACATTATTATTATTATTATTATTATTATTATTATTACTACTACTACTACTACTATACTACTACTACTACTATACTATTATTACTACTACTACTACTACTACTACTACTACTACTACTACTACTACTACTACTACTACTATCCTGAAGCAGCTTTAAAAGCTGTAAATGCTTCGGTGATCCAATCTTGATGATCCAAACCCCTCAAAGCTGTCAGGAGGCAATTTGAATTCTTCAGTCAGGTCTGTGCATTAAAATATAGACAATTATGTCTCCTACTAAACTGCCATTGTCAGTTTTAAGTATCTGGTGGGGATCTACGTTGTGAATTTTCTTGCAAAAAAAAGTCTGTTTGAGGTATCAAGGCCACTTACAGGTAGTCCTTGACCAGGGGTAGGCAACCTTGGCTCTCTTATCACTCGTGGACTTCAACTCCCAGAATTCCTGAGCCAGCATGGGGGAAACTTTGGCCTTGGTTAAAGGATGACGGGCAGGGGACCTCTTTGGCCTAAAGCAGGGGTAATCCATTGTTTAAACCATGGCTCAGCTTGGAAACTTCTCCCTTTCCCCTCAGCATGGCTGGCTCAGGAATTCTGGGAATTGAAGTCCACAAGTCATAAAAGAGCCAAGGTTGCCTACCCCTGATCGATCTATCTATCTATCTATCTATCTATCTATCTATCTATCTATCTATCTATCTATCTATCTATCTATCTATCTATCTATCTATCTATCTATCTATCATCATTTAGGTTAGGGATAGGCAACCTTGGCTCTTTTATGACTCGTGGACTTCAACTCCCAGAATTCCTGAGCCAGCGTGGCTCAGCTTGGAAACTTCTCCCTTTCCCCTCAGCATGGCTGGCTCAGGAATTCTGGGAATTGAAGTCCACAAGTCATAAAAGAGCCAAGGTTGCCTACCCCTGATCGATCGATCGATCTATCTATCTATCTATCTATCTATCTATCTATCTATCTATCTATCTATCTATCTATCTATCTATCTATCTATCTATCTATCATCATTTAGGTTAGGGATAGGCAACCTTGGCTCTTTTATGACTCGTGGACTTCAACTCCCAGAATTCCTGAGCCAGCCTGGCTCAGCTTGGAAACCTCTCCCTGTCCCCTCAGCATGGCTGGCTCAGGAATTCTGGGAGTTGAAGTCCACGAGTCATAAAAGAGCCAAGGTTGCCTATCCTTGCTATATACTCTCCTGCCTTTGTTACATTATTTTTTTCTTGGGCAAAGGAACGCCCTTCTGAATGAAACCCTGGACTACACTGGCTCTTTTTTAAGGTTTTGGTTTTTTTTTAAGTACAAAATCAAGTGGGAGAGACAAACCAGGGATGTTTCTGGTTACACTCCAGGAGGGTCAAACTGAGGGTTCTAGCAGTGGGTCACATTTTGTTTCAACATGGTTTACTAAACAAATCAACAGTTCACCAGTGTCACATCATTGCCATTAATTGTCCTTTCAAAACCAGAGCTAAATGAACCACGTGATGCCTTTGCGTCAATGCGCCAGTGTATAAAATGTGTGTCTGTGTGCCTCGCTTTGAATACAATGAGTACAAATGCCTTAGAATACATCTGTCAGGTTTTCCTGTTTTCTTTCTTTTTTTTTCCCTTCCCAAAATTGTTTTTGATTTGTCAGTTAGGGCTGCTTTGGCACAGCTTGATATCAAAAACATTTACCGAGAACAAAATTGAGCGCAGCTTTAAGAAGAAGTGAGCCACTGGCTCTTCTTTCAAACGGGTCAAACAACTCATTTCAGTACATTTTCACAGGGGACCTTTTGGTATCGATCAAAGCTTTTCAGGATATGTTTCCTTGTCCGCTCAGCTGTACTAATTAATTTCACTGTAGGTAGTGTGACAAAGGGGGTTTTAATTCTCCAAAGCGCCTGAAGGCAGGACAAGAAGCAACGGATGGAAACTAATCAAGGAGAGAAGCAACCTAGAACTAAGGAGAAACTTCCTGACAGTGAGAACAATTAACCAGCGGAACAACCTGCCTCCAGAAGCGGTGAATGCTCCAACACTGGAAGGTTTTAAAAAGAGATTGGACAGCCATTTGTCTGAAATGGTATAAGGCAGGGGTAGGCAACCTTGGCTCTTTTATGACTTGCAGACTTCAACTCCCAGAATTCCTGAGCCAGCCACGCTGAGGGGAAAGGGAGAGGTTTCCATGCTGAGCCATGCTGGCTCAGGAATTCTGGGAGTTGAAGTCCACGAGTCATAAAAGAGCCAAGGTTGCCTACCCCTGGTACAGGGTTTCCTGCCTGAGCAGGGGGTTGGACTAGATGACCTCCAAGGTCCCTTGCAACTATTATTATTAGTAGTAGTAGTAGCAGTAGTAGCAGCAGCTCCCAGACAGTTTTAGACAGCAGATGCAATGAAACCTACCCCTTCTGGGGCTTTTAATGCCACTAAAAAAAATTTGAGGGGCAGAAACAAGAATTCTCTTTCCTGCAGAGAGAGTATTTATGCCAGTCTCGTAGGTGAGTAGAAAATAGGAATAGGAAAAAAAAGTCCCTGGAATTCATGCTACACGTAGTCCTCAACTTACAACCACAGTTGAGCCCCAGAATTTCTTTTGTTAAGCAAGACAGCTGTTAAGTGAATTTTACCCCGTTTTATAACCTTCTTGCCACAGTTGTTAAGTTAGTAGCACGGTTGTGAAGGGAATCTGGCTTCCCCAATTGATTTTGCTTGTCAGAAGGTCACAAAAGGGGATCACGTGATCCCCCGGGACAGTACAACTGTCATAAATATGAGTCAGTTGCCATGGGACTGAATTTTGATCACATGACCAAGTGGATGCTGCAAGGGTCCTAAGTGTGAAAACTGGTCATAAGTCACTTTTTTCAGTGCCGTTGCACTGGGCATTTCTTCAGTCATCTTTCAGATCAATGCACATATATTTCCAATCATCATCAATATCATCATCATCATCATCATAGAGTTGGAATGGAGTCCAACCCCCTGCTCAGGCAGGAAACCCTATACCATTTCAGACAAATGGCTGTCCAGTCTCTTCTTAAAAACTTCCAGTGTTGGAGCATTCACCGCTTCTGGAGGCAGGTTGTTCCACTGGTTAATTGTTCTCACTGTCAGGAAGTTTCTCCTTAGTTCTATGTTTAGCACAGTTAATTCAGTCTACTTGAGGGAATCATACATTTTTAGTCAGTAATCCCTGGAGAACATGCCTTCTGAATCATAGCAATGACATGGGTATTAGGCTGGATTAGCCATCTATAAAATAAATTGTGTCAGTAAATGTCAACACATTCATTCTGTTTCATTTGGAAATTCTGTATAGTTAAGAGGAAATTCTGTATAGTCAAGAGGAAAGAATATAGGATCTTCTAGCGATCATATTCAAACAGGTGTATTAGACACAATTGCTTATAGGTAATTAATAGTTATCTAACTCTAGTAGTGTAAGATACTGACTAGGTTCTGTCAGATCAATATAAGTTAGGTCCTTCCTCCCTCTCTCCCTCCCTCCCTTCCTTCCTTCCTCAATTCTGTTAAGATAGTTAGACATTTTAAGACTTGAATAAAGTTAGGAACACAGATTATAAGAGGAGAAGCCAGCAAATGCGTTCAAAAGCCCAACCCAAACACCGGAGGCAATATAGGAGATCCCAAAGAGATCTAATTCCTGAAACCAATTGAGCTTTTGGTGAAGAATCTAGAGTAAAATGCCCTCGGGTGCTAGAAACAGGAAGTCAAGGAGATGTAAATAGTTGTTGTTCTTTTATTCAGAAGGGAAGAGTCCTTCCCTGAGCTCGTTTGTTCCCATGAAATGTGATCTGTTCAAGAAAAAACTTGTCCCCTGACTTTGCAGGTGATCCCTCCCAAAGAATGGAAGCCCCGCAAGACTTACGACGACATCGACAGCATGGTGATCCCTGCTCCCATTCAGCAGGTGGTGACTGGCCAGTCCGGGCTCTTCACCCAGTACAACATTCAGAAGAAACCCATGCTGGTTGGAGACTATCGTCGCTTGGCTAATAGTGAGAAGTACGTCCTTGGTTTAAGACTGTCCTGGCTTATAATTAAACAAGGCCTGGGGATTCTTTTTTGTCTTTTTGCAGTAAAAGTAGACAGACAGACAGATAGATGATAGACAGAGTGGATGATAGATACAGTGGATGATATAGATAGATAGATATAGATATAGATATAGATATAGGTAGATAGATAGATAGATAGAGAGAGAGAGAGAGAGAGAGAGAGAGAGAGAGAGAGAGAGAGAGAGAGATACAGATAGATATAAATAAATGATACATAGAGAGATAGACAGATATAAATAAATGATACAGATAGATAGATAGATAGATATAGATATATATAGAGAGAGAATATATATATATATATAGAGAGAGAGAGAATATATATATATATATAGAGAGAGATGATAGATAGACCTAGATGATAGATATAAATAGGTAGATAGATAGATAGATAGATAGATAGATAGATAGATAGATAGATAGATAGATAGATAGATAGATAGATAGATAGATAGACAGACCTAGATGATAGATAGACCTAGATGATAGATAGAGATAGATAGATAGACAGATAGATATAAATAAATGATAGATAGATACAGTAGATAGACGATAGAATGATAGAAAGATAATAGATAGACAGATAGATAGATACAGTAGATAGACAATAGAACGATAGACAGATAGACAGATATAAATGATAGAGATAGATAGATAGATAGATAGATAGATACAGTAGATAGACAATAGAACGATAGAAAGATAATAGATAGACATAGACAGACAGACAGACAGATACATAGATAATAGATGATAGTTGGATGGATGGAGAGAGAGAGGCACATGTGTCACGTTGAGCTGCTTCCGCGTCGCCTTCTCCGCTGCTCTTACTGACTACTCGTCAGCATCCTTTTGTAGAATAGAGTTGAAAAGGCGGTGTTTTTTCTCTGTTCAGAGTGAACTAACTAAATTGTCCTACCTTTATTAGGGCATCAGAGGGGGAAACTCTGCTTTACAAAGATTTAGTGCCAGTTCTCTTAATTTTATTTTTCCTGACCAGGTACTGTACTCCTCGTCATCAGGATTTTGATGATCTGGAACGCAAATACTGGAAGAATTTGACTTTTGTGTCCCCTATCTACGGGGCGGATATCAGTGGCTCCTTGTATGATGGGGTAAGTCAGATGAGAGCGTGTGTACGATGCAGATTTAGACAACGTTGGAACAGGTTAAATTCTATGCGAACCCCAGGGGGAATTAATAAAGTAACGGGAATGTTGAGGACTACTACTGTCATTATGTATAATTCAGGGGTCTTCAAACTTGGTCCTTTTATGACTTGTGGACTTCAGCTCCCAGAATTCCTCAGCCAGGCACATGTGTATCCTTGTATCCCTGTATCTTTAACGTAAACTGCGCTGGGCTGGCTTTCAGTCAGAGTCTTTCTCTCTCTTTGCTCCCTCTTGTACTGATTTATCCACGTCATTTTTAGAAAAGCCCTTTCATTTTGGCTCCACCTGTGAACCGAATCTTAAAAGTTGTAGCAAACAGGTTCTTGACAGCCGGCGGGAGCCCGTGTAATAGAGCGTGTTTTAGCCTGTTTTCTTCTCGGGACCGTTCAGAGGGCCGTTACGCGTCTTGTATCCTGCTGTTTGCAATAGCTCAGTGATGGCGAACCTTTTACAGACTGAGGGCCCAAAAACTGGCCCCGCCCCTGCTCCAGCCCCTGCCCTGCCCCCGCTTTGCCCCCACCCCGCCTGCCCGCAGGGCCCTCACCGCCTCCAGGGCCTACCGCAGATCGCCCAGCAGCACCATGGTGGCGACACCCTCTGCCCGCGCCCCACAGCATCAACTGTGCGCGATGGGGCGTGAGGGCAGAGTCTTGTCTACGCTGCCTGGCTGCCATGTCCTTGGCTGCGTTGCTCCGCATGGGCCACGCTCGGGGGCGACTCTCCTTCAGGGGGGCTGCTGGTGAGGGGGTTGCGGGGGGAGGCAAGGCTGGGGCAACGGCACGTGTGCCCACAGAGAGGGCTCCGAGTGCCGCCTCTGGCACCCGTGGCATAGGTTTGCCACCACTGCAATAGCTACTCCTGCCAGAGGTTTTTTTCCTTCGGATGCTGCCTGTGAAAAGTGACCGCCGGCGCCCCCTTTCCGTGCGGGAATGGAAGGAGCGCTGGCTCCTCCTTTGACACCTGGCTTTATTTTCACCCCCAGGATGTGGACGAGTGGAACATTGGGAACCTGAACACTCTCCTTGACATGGTGGAGCATCAGTGTGGGATTATCATAGAAGGCGTGAACACCCCCTACCTCTACTTTGGGATGTGGAAGACCACGTTTGCGTGGCACACGGAGGACATGGATCTCTACAGCATCAACTACCTGCATTTTGGAGAACCCAAGTCATGGTGAGCGTATGAAGAGGGACGTTTAACAGGGGTTGTGTGAAAAATTTAACCGATAGAAGAGAATAGGGTTGAAACTGTGGGCTCCTGGGTGCTCTCTTGAGCTGGGTGGTTTTCTTGCAGACGTTTCATTACCATGCTAGGTAACATCATCAGTGCTGGAAGGGAATGTGGGGTTTGGGGAGTGGAGGGGAAAGCGGAGGAAGGGGAAAAGGAGCAGGAGAAGAGGGAGGAGGAGGGCGATTGTGGGGATGCTCTCTGAGCTTGGTTCTTTTCTTGCAGACGTTTCATTACTGTGCTAGGTAATATCATCAGTGCTAGAAGGGAATGTGGGGTTTGGGGGAGTGGAGGGGAAAGCGGAGGAAGGCGAAAAGGAGCAGGAGAAGAGGGAGGAGGAGGGTGATTATGGGGTCCTTGATGCTCTCTGAGCTTGGTTCTTTTCTTGCAGACGTTTCATTACCGTGCTAGGTAACATCATCAGTGCTAGAAGGGAATGTGGGATTTGGGGAGTGTAGGGGAAAAAAGAGGAAGTGGAAAAGGGAAGAAGGAGCAGGAGAAGAGGGAGGAGGAGGAGGAGGAGAGGGGGTGATTGTGGGGTCTGATGCTCTCTGAGCTTGGTGGTTTTCTTGCAGACATTTCATTACCATGTTAAGTAACATCATCAGTGCTGGAAGGGAATGTGGGGTTTGGGGAGTGGAGGAGGACAGCAACTGTGGGGTCCTTGGTGCTCTCTGAGTTTGTTTGTTTGCAGATGTTTCATGACCCAACTAGGTAACATCATCGGTGCTAGAAAGGGAATGAGGATTGCTCTCTTTTTATATACTAGTCTAGTGGCTTGCTCTGTCAGTGTTTGTGGAGTGTTTTCTTCTTGCTAGTTCCTTGATTTCAGCCTAAGAGAGCAAACCAACTATATATATATAAACAAAAGACCAGAACCCCACTCCTTTTTAGCACCGATGATTTACCTAGTTTGGGTAATGAACCACCTACAAGAAAACCACCAAGCTCAGAGAGCACTTGGGACCCCACATGTGAAAAATGCATAAAACTATTCTGCTCACTGAAGCACTAATTTTGGTTTACTCTCTGCCTGAATTGAAATGGGTGTGTTTTAGGCATTGTTTCTGAATGAAACGGGGTCCGTTTTCTTCTTTGAGCAGTTTTGTCCTGTTGAAAGAAAAGTCTTCATCGTGGTTCAGTCCAAGCTGGGAATAAACATGGCGACTGCTTTAGGAAGAAGGTTGCTGTTTATTGAAGAGGACAGCCAGACAGAAAGATGGCTCTGGCAGAAAAGAGAGAGAGCACACATAGGGAGTGGGGTTTTATACCCTCTGGAGACTTTTGTTTGGAGAGTTGATCCTGTGGCATGAACTTTGACCTGAGTCTGAGTGTGCCCTTTGGCATCTCTGTGTTAAATCCTAATTATGTCCTGTCTTAGAATTTGGGTGGGGTGTGTAGATTTTAGGAGTCTTTGTCTTCTTAAGCTTCTAGCTGGGGGCTTCCAACCTTCCTGGATGGTTTACATCTACATTTCTACAGAGCTGGATTCTGCTTGGGGGAGGGAGGCCTGGGGGCTATTAAAGAAAAACTGGGCATGCTTTTCTGCCTCTTTAAGATCCTTTGAGGAAATATATTTTCCTGCCCTTTTAATATTTCCTTCTCTGGGAGGGCTGACTTCCCACAGTCCTATGCACCAAACAAAACAGGGCTACTTGTGCCGGGCAGTGTAAATTCAGGAAACAACAGGAACACCAGTCACTGAGAGAAAAGAGAGAGAAAAAGAGCATGGATGTGGTCAGAGGGATGTGTTATGACATTCTCAGGGACAGCTGCTAACGGGAAGAAAAATGGAAGCAGGCCGGACATCCGATTAGGCTGCATTGGGAATTGTACAAGGCAGAGAAGGGCCAAACAAGAGCCAGCCTCATCTTACTTGTTCCTGTCTGGGTTTTTATTTTGTCTTATCTGAAACCCAGAAACAACTGCCAGTGTTTCTGTTAACTTTTCATTTCTGTCGAACCGTCAATATCTGAAAATGGTTTGTTAGATTCTCCCCCATTTTTTTCCTGTTTCGTGCAGGCCTCTCCTATTTAATATTTGAAAAGGACCAAACAGACATCACGTAAATCGCAAGGTTGATGTGTTGGCAGTGGCTAGATTTTCTGTACTATAAAAAAAGAACACATGCCTATTAAAATTGGCCGGGTCCACAATATTTTGTCAGAGGGAGGGGAAAGAGGCCTAGGGCACAGGTCGGCAACCTGTGGCTCCGAAGCCACATGCGGCTCTTTGAGCGTTCCCCTGTGGCTCCGAGCCTCCTCTGCCATTTTCAGAGAGAGACAGAGACAGAGCTTCTCTCTCTCTGTCTCTCTCCGTCTCTGTCTGTCTGTCTGTCTGTCTGTCTGTCTGTCTCTCTCTCTCTCTCTCTCTCTCTCTCTCTCTCTAAAAAAGAGAGTGGCCTCACCCTGTTCCACAAGCTGACAAACTTACTGGGCGGGGCTCCTGCCTTGGCTGCGTCTCTGCAGGAAGCAGGAAGGGCAGGAGAGAGCTAGCTAGCCCAGCTATGCTGACTCAAGAATTCTGGGAGTTGAAGTCCATGAGTCATAAAAGAGCCGAGGTTGCCTACCCCTGAGCTAGCCCAGTAAGAATGTGTGTCAGCTTGTTGGAGAACAGCTTGAAGCCAGCTTGCCAGGTGAGCAGAAGATCAGAGAGAGGGCGAGAGAGAGGGCGAGAGAGAAAGAGGGAGAGAAAGAGAGAGAGGGAGGGAGAGGAGAGAGAGGGAGAAAGAAAGAGAGAAAGAGAGAGAGGGAGGGACAGAGGAAAGAGAGAGGGGGAGGGAAAGAGAGAGAGACAGAGAGAGAGACCCTTTTGACATCTAAAATGAAGATAACACTGC